ATATATATATATATATATATATATATATATATATATATATATATATATATATATATATATATATATATATATATATATATATATAGATAGATAAAAAAGTTCTAGCTTTATAAAAACTGTCTGCCAAAGAAAGAGTGGCTTTTTGAAAAGTAGATAAATAATAACCTGTAGAACTCATACTATTTTCTTCGTTGCACAGTGAATCGTTTCATACAATTTAGCTAGACAAAAATATTTTGTTTACGAACTCCTTTGTTCTAGTCATGGTTTTAATAAGCAATATTGAGTTGTTTTATTAAATAATCATCCTGGTTTTAATAACTTTAAAGTTTTTTTTGCGCAGGATAGAGGAAAAACCCCTTGCCTACAATACCCCTTCCCCCATTCTTCCTCATTGCAACAACCGCTGTTATAATAAAAAAATGAAGTAAAAAAGAAAAAATATATTTATGAAGTAAGGATACGAAATATTATACAATAAATTTTATATTTAGTTATCAAAAAACTTGTCGTTTATATCCACCAAACACTCATCACTTGAATCGTCAGATGACTCATCATTTGATTCATCGGACAAGTTACAATTTCCTATTCTTGGAGCCGGAACAATCAAATTCAAAACCTCTACTGGTTATTTGCTTCTTTTTGCAGGCAGTTCTCTAAGTGAATTGATAACAGGATCAGATGTTATTAAGAGCATACTAAGCAAATCCATATTTGTAGAAATACGTGACTTTTTCCTAGTGTGATACTCTCGAAATTTCTTACAATCTTTATTTCGTGCTTCCAGAGATTCTTCTGAGAGCTGGCCAATTGGAAGAATACACAACTTTATAACTTCTGTGCTATGCCATAAAACTTTATGCACTGTAACAAGCATGTAATACCAGGAATATAAATGTAAATATAAAGTCCATGTTTCAGAACAAAGTTTTTCAAACTTGATACAATCAATGCCATGGCCAGAAGATAGCGTTCTTAACAAAACACAAAATTTTTTAATTAATTTAACGCCTAATCCTGTAATCTCTCCAATTTTTTCTGGGTTTAAAAAAAAACCTGCGAGCTGTGTTGCCATCATTTGTAATGTCATAATGAGGCTTCGGTCTATCCACAAGGATCCCATTTGTTTTCGAAACTTTTGCCTAATCTCTTTTGAACAATTTCTGATACGACATTTATCCTCTTTGTCTCTAAATTGCCACTTTTTAATGTCTAAATGGTAGCTAATGTGTGGCAGGCAAAAGAACATATGCAGGGTAGAAAAACCGAAAATTATAATTTTCTTATTTATTAATTATACCTTTTAATTCACCATTCATCATTTTTAAAGTAGCACCGCAAATATAACATTTTTGTGTGGGGTGCGTATCAGTTAAAGCATTGCTTATTTTTCCATCTGTCATTGTAAGTAACAAACATTACACATGTTGGAAGAAGTTCAGATATTTCTTTTAAAACTTTGTCAGTTTCTATTACAGTAAATTCCTGTGTTTCTTTTGAAAATATGAATTTAATTGGTCTGCAATAAAGTGTTGACGATGGCCGAGAATTTTGCCAATTAATAGTATAAGAGTTATCACTCAATCTCAACAGAACAAACGCAAACACAAACAGAAAATCATCATTAGGATCGGAGTTCTCAAATCTTTGATTATAGGTATTGTGGCCAGAACTTCCGTCACATCCCTATTTGCTTATTAATGTAAGCAACAAGTTAGAGGATGCTTTTTTGGGAAATTAACTTAGTGTTTCAATTAAACGTTCAGTTGTTTTGTTGAATATGGTTTGAAGTTTAATATCAGCTAGTGTTTTCGAGAAACAAATTCTTCTGGAGGGTAACACAACCTTTTGGATTCACATAAATTAAAGACGGAAACACTTCATGTCCTGCTTTCATTGACCATTTTCTTGTTTGTTTATAAGAATGGCTAGTACACTTGGAATCTACATAATAAGCAAGTGCCTCACTGCTACTCAACTGTCTGATACCACAAATAACATCTGTAGATTTTCTTCGCTATAAGGTTTCTGTACTTTTTCTAATAGAAGTAGCTATGTTTCTTTGACCCGACAAACAATGTGTTATTTCAGCAGCTGTTGTTAATTCATTGGCACTCCACGATTGCAATAATGCTTCAACTCTACGTCTTTTAGTTTTTAAAGATGAGTCTTTTTCTTTGACCGACCTTGAGGCAAACTTTTTTCAGATGTATAAGTTGTAGAAGTACAGAACCGATAAAAATTTAATTTAAATTCTAAATTATTGCCCTCTAACCAACTTTTATTTTTATTTAAAAAATGATCCATATTTCTATTGGCTGCATTCCACTTTTGCGCAAGTTTTTTTTTTTATTTTTTATTTGCATTCACTCCCAACAAGGCTGCAAGCAACCACTATTAAGTTGGGAGTGACTAGGAAAAAAAAAGAACAGAGTTATAGAGCAAGGAAACGGTTGACAGAAGACTTGAAAAGTTGAAGGTTGTATGAGTCAGGAAAACATGAAGATGGGAGAGAGTTCCAAAGGATTGAAGTGCGGGGAAAAAAACTAGATGAATAAAAGTTTTTAGAGCATGCAGGGACAGAGACACTAAACGAATGAGACTTAGCTGAATGACGAGTAAAACGAGAATGAATTTTAGTTGATGGAACTAGAGATGATAACTCCTTTGAGCAGTGACCATGATAGTATCTGTAGAAAAGAGAAAGAGATGCAACTTTTCGACGATGGGAAAGAGGTTCAAGCTTAGCAGATAGTCCAGGTCC